TTTTTTTCTTTCTTTTTGTTATTTATTGCGGTAGATGACAAGCGAAGAAGTTGTGCTCCGTCTTCTAGCGGTTTCCCCTTGCCCTCCATCTCGACCAATGTACCTACCCCTATTTTTGTGTCGCGTACGACCCTTGCCTGTTCCTTGCCGTTTTTTTTTTGCGTCTATCACTTGAAAAAGGGCGTCCGCCCGAAGCGTCGTGTATACCTTCCTGTCCACGTATTGTTTTCGAGTAGCACGATCATATATTTGCGATTTCGTACTTTTTCTAGAGCCAAGCACGTGAGAGCGACGTTGTCACACACGTCCTCACTGATGATAGCAACGCTGTTTGTAGATTTCCTTGTCGTCACACGTGATCCTGTAACGTTCTCTACAGCAGCAATACAAAGGTGATAATTGGCGCAGCGCACACAAACGCACACTTCCTGGTGTGGAATACATTTGACCCATCTAGGGCGCAAGAAATGAAATTTCGTTAGCCAAACGCCGGAATCAGAATGCTTGTCTTTGTATCCACGAAAGGCCTCTCGGATTAAGCGTGTCAGGAAGCGCTTTGGGACGAACGTTTTATCCCCGTCGTGCATGGCAGAGATCACGTCCTTCTGGTAGGGACCTCGGCGCGAACATTGTAGCTCGTCTTTCGTGAAGTACTCTAGGGCAGCAGACAGGTTCTCAGGGCTCACCTTGCACCTCGTGTAAGGATCCGGCTCATACCACATGCCATGTTTTTCCTTACCTAAAACGTAAACACTGTCGTCATGTTAACCTTTCCTAGGTTGACATGGCGAAAGTGTTTTTATTGTATTTAGGCGGGGCTCGAGTATTTGAGGGTTCTGCTCTCTGTCGGTGTGCCTCTTTGTGCCTGATATTATCGCCCGCGAAGCCAGCGAGTGGGATGGCGACAGGCGCGACTGCTCAGTAAACAGGCATCGGCGGCCATATTTTGCTGGCTGAAGCGAACCCCCTCATGCTTGACAACAAGTGGGGAAATCAAAAAAAAAAAAGATTGTAGCGGCCGTTTTGCCAGAATTAGCGGCGAGTTTCGCCTGCTACTTCCGTCAACTATTGCGCCATAATCGTGATCTTCGCGAGGAAATTATTGTTGCTAGCCACGGAACACTATCACGCAGAAAGGGAATGCTTGAATATGCTTTTATTCTATATATAAGTCAGGGATATATAAAAGAGAGACAGATGGAGATAGAGAGTAAGAGAGAGGAGCATATAGTGCCGTAGGAAAATAGAGTAAACAAAGTTCCCAGTGACCGATGGCTGCAAGATCGTTTCTCGGACCACTAGTTCGTAATATGATAGCTCTTTGTACACATGGTTAAAATCGCGCACAAAGAGACGAGGACAAACGAGGAAGGAACACAGAACACAGACAGGCGCGCACTCACAACTTTAGTATATTAAGTGAAGAAGAGAAAGATGAAGCACTATTTTTTACAGGGGACAACGTCACCAGGAGGAAACATTCTCAAGGTTGCCCCCCTTGACACCACAGGCAACCCAGAGGCAGTCCTTGAAGAACCGGGCCTGACGCCAATACTCAGACCGTAAAATTCTGCAAACCCGTCTTGAGTGGCCCACCGAAGGTATAAAAAAGCCACTTAAACTAAGAAGTTCAGTTGGACAGGTACCTTGTTTGATGTGGTACGATGCTACCCGGGCGCTGCACGCACTTTGGGCTGCCAGATTGACCAGAAGAATAGGGTTAGTGAAGGAAAGAGAACAGATGACAGAAGAAGAGCCCGATGTAGAAGAACGTTTACCAACTCGCCCAACTTACTACTCGTCTACAGTTTATTTCTTCTACATCGGGCTCTTCTTCTGTCATCTGTTCTCTTTCCTTTACTAACCCTAATCTTCTGGTCAATCTGGCAGCCCAAAGTGCGTGCAGCGCTCGGGTAGCATCGTACCACATCAAACAAGGTACCTGTCCAACTTAACTCCTTAGTTTAAGTGGCTTTCTTACACCTTCGGTGGGCCACTCAAGACGGGTTTGCAGAATTTTACGGTCTGAGTATTGGCGTCAGGCCCGGTTCTTCAAGGACTGCCTCTGGGTTGCCTGTGGTGTCAAGGGGGGCAACCTTGAGAATGTTTCGCCCTGGTGACGTTGTCCCCTGTAAAAAATAGTGCTTCATCTTTCTCTTCTTCACTTAATATACTAGAGCTGTGAGTGCGCGCCTGTCTGTGTTCTGTGTTCCTTCCTCGTTTGTCCTCGTCTCTTTGTGCGCGATTTTAACCATGTTCAACGTTTACCAACTCGCCCAACTTACTACTCTTCTTCGTACACAGTAGTTTCTCCTCGATTTTAGTGTGTGAACGATTTATATAGTTATCAATGGCCTCATCTGAATAAAAATATATGAAAGATCTGTGTTAGCTTCATGAAACTGGAATTCAGAGTCACTTCTTGTATAGGGCACTGCTAAGTGTAGGCTTTGAAAAAGGACCCTATTTTGGGGAATTGTTTCTTTTTTCTCAATGAAATATTGCAACATGTTTTAATAGAAATGAATGCCGAAATAGAGTATATCAGGGTACCGAAATTTTAAAAAAAATCGAAGATGGTGTTTTTTTTATTCGCATCTGAATTTTTCGTTGTTTGATTTTTTTCCCATATTTGCCTAAATATACCCCGACTATCGTATCACTTAGATACGTAATTTTTTTATTTTTTAAATAATAGCCATATATAAGTAGAATACTATATGCAAACTATATAACAATGATTAAATTATTTAATGAGATACAGGCCTTTGAACTTTGCCATTTGTCGTTCGAGCAGGCATGTTTGGCATTTTTTTTAGAAAACTAAATATTATTACTTTACATTACAAGCAAGCTGTACCCATAGTTTGCGTCTAAAAAGTATTTGTATTCTCCTAATGTTATCGTTTTAGTTATTCACCCTCAAACGTGCCCCCTCCATCAGTGCGCACTAATGCAACTGTCCACCTCTTCATGCCTTACGTTTTTTCTTGTCCCCAAATATTTTTTTTCTGGTGAAAACTGTTTGGATTCGCTTATGCCAGACACTAGACAATTGCATATAAAGACATCAGTTGATTTAAAGATGTCGACCAGCCACCCTTTGGTCGATCTTATCTGAAATCACCCAGCACTATATTGCTAGCACTATATTGACCACTTGCATTTCAAAGTAAAAGTGGCATCATAATGTATGTAGATCCTCAAAGAATCAAATAGAGACACAAACTCTTTATATCAAGATTTGTTACTCTGAAATTGTCTGATTTGTATTGGAATGATATACGCCATGTGCAAGTCTCAACTCGGATATTGTTTTATCCATCCACCCATTCAATGAAAAATATTGCCTACGCACCTTAATTTTGGAGTAATATGCTTCGCGTGTGCTCTGACAGTATCTGCAGAGGCGCCTACGCACTGGGCGCTCAAAAACCGGCCATGTAGTCAACAGATGATATTGCGAATAAAACAAAGTAGGAATGTTTTGTTTTGTTTTACTGGCTAAATACTGAGCTCTGCAGCAGCAAGGCAATACATGCCTCGAGATACCGGGCATGAACGAAGCGCCGTCCGTGCAGGCGAAACGAGCCAGTACCAAACCCTGTGGATGATGGTTGCGATACACTTGTGCCATTAAATTATAAGATTAAAGTTGTAAAATATTTATTCCGCTCACGCCGCAGATAATTAATCTCTTTGTGAAGCAACGGAAGTCGCGCAGTACCAGCCCTGGGTACACACGGTAAAACTGTGGTTCAAGCGGATTTGGTGAGGGACGTCAATAGAGCAAAAGAGGTATTTTGGTGGGGAACGTTAAAAAACCTAGCGGCTATTTCGACGGGTTATGTCTGGACGCCGCCGCTATGAAAGCGATGTCGCACGGAGCTCATACACCTAGGACGTAAAAATAACACCGCTAGTTATTTTGACGACGGAAGTCAAATATGGTATACCTTACTCTTTCAATTAATTTGGGTAGTGTAATGCCCACAATCAAGGTTAGGAGCAACGCATATTGGTAGAATAAATTGTTTTATTGGTTGGAATACCTTCAAGGCCCGGTAAAAGGAACTTTAAATTTCCCTCCCCTCCCCCCCCCCCCCACCAAAAAAAAAATCCTAGCACGCATTATTCCCAGACCACATCCCCCTTACTGTGGCAGATTTACAAACATGTTTATCAAGTAAAAACCTAAAGTAATAAAAGAAAACATGCTGCAAAAACACGACGACAGAAACACAGGGACAAAACAATTTCATGCAAGTAATAGTACAAGAGTACATTTTAATGCTAACATGTCAATTAAAGGAAATAAACAAAAATATATTTGTTCCATTTCCATAGACCACATAAATTCGCACACACCCTTCAGTATAAAGATCTAACCGTAAAAACAAAATCACGAAATGGGTTTTTAGATACTTTTCTTTATATGGCGTAGGTCATTGTACTTTTGATGTAATTGCTCAGAGCTCCCTGACTGCGTCTGCATATATTCATTTTCCAGTATTGTGTGTGACGGGTTGAGTAGGCTGGATTATTTATTGTAAGTGAAGCCAGCAAGGCTAAATTTTGTACACTTTGTTTAGATTCCGAAACAAAATAGCTGAATTAGTCAAAAAATCCCTTCGTCCATAATGTTTATTATTGAAACTCTCACAAGGTTTGGTAATGCATTAAAAACTTAGAGATCATTAAATAAACATATCGAACTCTGCGCAGTTCAGAAACGTCTGTGGCACCCTATATGTCAGCCACTTAAAAAAGACGCATTTAAAATAGAAGAATAAACGATGGCAGATAATGGGTGCATTCCTTTCTAGGCAATTTTTAGAACCTGCAAATGCTCTACGGAAATAAAATATCTAAAGGGAATCGGTTTATTTGATTGGGAAAGCTAGATCACCTCCAGTTGATTAAGCCTAAATTGGTTTTGGACTGGTTAGACCAAATATACTATATGATGACGTTTACTAAAAAAAGTAAATCAAGTGCCCCTACTTCTCGTCACTATCGCCCAAAGTGCGCGCACACTTTTCTTTCTGAACTTTCTGTGCTTTTGCGAGCACTTTGTCCAGTCGCTGCACAAACACATCCACGTCGTTCTTTCTGACACCCAAAGTGGATGCAGCATTCAGGTAAGATGACGGGTAGGACTTGCAGTGCAAGCCCCAGCCTTCCAATTCCCAGTTGCCCACTTTCTTTGTGCCTTCGTTTGAGACCACCTTGGACCCAGACACAAATCTTGTGAACAACATGGCGCCTATACCGGTCACTTCTCCGACTTTGTCCTCAGTGACGCTCATGGCGACCGAAATACGGTTGTTGGGCGTGTGAAGGAAGCGCTCGCCGTGTTTCCCCGAGACTTCCCTGAGTTTTTCTGTCAGATACACGAAGACCTCCCGACGTTCCTTTCTGAGCTTGAGGTACCCCTTTGTGCCGAGGGACAGAAGCGTGATGAAGAGGTCCATGGTGGGGGTGGCTGAACCCCGGCCTGGGTACATCTGAGCCACGGTCTCGATCAGTTCCTTGTCAAAGCCGGCGATGACAGCCCCGCCGACCGGAACCATGAAATTCTTGTCGGTGCTCTGCACGAAGGCATCCAGTCGCCCTACCCTAGAGGCCTGCTGGATGAGGTGCATGCACTTGGTGCACTGAACCCCGTATGCGTTGTTCACTAAGTGGGGAACTTGGAACTCTTCGCAAAGCTGTGCCACGTCCTCTAGGCTGTCAGGACACCTTGGCGCGGGGCACGAGGTGATCGTCATGACGCAGGCGACGTTCTGCGCTCCGATACGCTCTAAGTGAGCCCGCATCGCCGCCACGTCCGTGTGCAACTCGTCGCCGAAGAGACGGCCTTGGACGACTATCGGCTCGAAGCCGGCCGTGAGGATGCACTTGAAGCAGGACTTTTGGTCCATTCGTGACCACATGACGTAACGGGCGGCAGGTCGCTTCTGACGGAACGCGAGCATGCAGAGTGTCAGGCTCATGCCAGTCGCCATTGGCACGACGAAGCAGGCTTTAGTGGCCGGAACTCCCATCGTCTGAAGGAGGTGGAGCACCATGGAGTTGGTGAGCTTGTTCATGAGGCTTGAGCCCGCCGCTTTGGGCTGCGTCTCGGAGATGTCGCCGGAGCGGCCAATGCCATGGCCCAGCCGGTAGTGGCGTCGGCTCACCAGATTGGACGCGATGCGTGCTTCCCTCTCGCCGACGCCCGCGTTGCCCAAGAAATTGTTGCTGTCCATGAGCGAAAGGTTTTGGAGCAGGATCTCGATGGTGGAGTCGTCCCAGCCTTCTTCGGGACAGCGTCCCTGCTCAAGCAATTGGGCAATCTTAGACTCATTGGAGACTATGGCCTGACTCGCTTGCGCAATGTACGATGCTTTCACGTACTTACGGGACAAGGACAAGTTGTCTGAGTTCATTGTGCTCAACCCCCGTCACGAGACCACTTATAGACCGTTTACTACACTAAAGATAGAATATCAAACAAAACAATGCGCGAAACAGAGTCGCAGGCGTGAAAAGGAAAACTGGGGCATCCAGGAAAACCTAGCAATGCTCATGTGCACGTGTACACTTACCGGCTTTCGTTCCCGCAGTTTCGTATCCAGCCTTTCCAAGTTATGTTTTGTGTTTTTAAGCTCTCGCACTCTTTAAAAAAAAATGTCAGAACTATATATGAACGCAATATTATAGTAAACTATATGCATTGTGCAAGCTATCCTGCGTAGTGGGTATTTAACATGCAATTAAGCTATAATGTTGTACAGAGGTAAAATATGTTGCAACTTTGCGTTTTGTATTTTATGAAATCGTCAAATCCGGTCCAGACACGTCGCTTGCAGGTGTTCATTGTTTGTTTCGCTATACAGCACACCTGAACTCAAACTGCCAGCTGCGATATTTGGGTCTCTACTGCCAATGATTCCAAATGCAACACGTGGACCCACCTACTTAGTGTATTTGACAGCACTCTTTCGAAACCTGTGGTAAAAAGATGTAAAGGTAGGACTTTCGCGGCCGTAACGTGCCTTTCGGGAGTTGTGAAAATAGCTTTATAATGTAATGTTCCTAGAAATGAAAACTCAGGAGCCGCATTATAAAAGAACGGCCACCATGCTTTTTTTGTTTTATTTCATACTCTTCCTTCTCTTCTCGACCTCCAGTCCTCGTCCTCTTCGGTTTCCTTACACCTCCTTGGGGATAATAAAGGAATTATTGCCAATTCTGGGAAACTCTAGCTGTCCATCACTATTCAGATATCCAATGGTCTTGAAAGTTCCTTGCTGTCTGGCAGCCTTGACAACGCAAAAAGGACCAATGAACTTGGAGTTTGTTCCTGGCAGGCCTTTACGAACTAAAACGAAGTTGTTCAGCTGAACGTTGGGTATATGGCTGCTGTGGCGAGCGTCGAATTATTTTTTAATACTTGAACTATCCGTCCGCAGTTTTCTATCGTTCTTACAGCTCTAGTTTTCTAATTAATTTCCAACTTGTGGTCCGCTGGCAATTTGGGAGTTCCTCCAAGGACCGCATAATGTGTACTGCATCCAAGAGCGCTGGTGTGTCAACAGTTGTGATGTGCCACTGCCGCCTCGAGGTAACATTTCCTTCGGCCTTCGGAGGTTGGGTACATCATCATATATTGTTTGAGGTATTGGATGACCCTTTCTGCTATGATTGGCTGCCGGATGGTATGGAGATGACCGTGGCAAGGGAATTCCTCGCTGTGGATGGAGCCCAGTCGCGGAGGCGTTTGCTTATGCAGGCAGGTCCGTTGTCAGAAATGACGGTCCTCACATGTTTTAATACATCCCGCTCCAAAAGACGGATTACGCTATTTGCATCTTCCTTTCCAGGAGAGGCGGCGACCATTCGTGTGCGCTGGTCGATGCAAATCAAGAATGCTTGAGTTTTCTGGACGCCTGTGTTCTTTTTTACTTCAGCGAAATCCAAATGAACAGTCTCGAAAAGTTTTCCGGAGTGTTTTGGAAGAATCATTTCGTCAGTCCGCGGACTGTACTTGGCTTTATGGAGTTGGCATTGGTGACAAGATGTATCGTTCTTCGGGAAGTCCTTTTTCATGTGGTTCTATCTGAACCTTTGTTCCAGCTTGTTGTAAGTGCGCCAGAAACCATCATGTCCGCCTGAATCTGGAGCATCATAATAGAGCTGCAATACTTTAGGAATGAGCTTTACAGGAACAGTGTATTTGCCGCCTTCGAATGTGAGGTATGTTCCTTCCGATACCATTTGAAGATTAGCCTCCTGGAAGGGGAAGTCTACAGCCAGCCGGGCCAATGAATTAGCGTCAGTCAGAATGTCACCAACTTAAAAGATAGATACTTCTGGACTCACTCTAACAAAGTGATCTCGCGCTCCCTCTTCAAAATAAAAAAACACGTACACACAGACATACAACATTGTTTACAGTCTCAAAAATGACTTGGTATTGTTCCCCAGCTGCAAAGGTGCTTGATCAGTAGTTACCACTTATTTTATTCGAATGGTTTTCTTGTTGTTTTTGCTTTTTCTTTTAAGAAAAAGAAAAAGTGCAACGTAGACTCTAACCAATTTCTTCAATGTGCCCGACGTTTCGAAGCCAGCTCGGCTCCTTGTTCACGGGTGACTGTATATGGGCCCAAGGGTAGCAACCTGTCGTCGTTTTCTTCTCTTCTCTCTTAGCTTTGTTTTCTTCTTCTGTTCCTGTGTGTGGCGCATTTTAGCCCGTGTATATAGCTGCTTGGAAGCGTTCCGGTGGATCGGTTCAGGTTGTTGCTTGTATTTTGTATGTGCCAAGATTCTATTAAGAGCCGCTTTCTCCAGTTTCTTTCTGTGTCGAGGATGGAGCTGCTGTCAAAGACAATGGCGTGGCCGGTCTTCTGAGCATGTTCCGCCAGCGCGCTGCCTTGGATGTCATCCTTCTTAACATCATACTTATGTCTACGCAGACGTTCGGGAAAGTTCTTCGTTTCCCCCACATAAGAGGCGTCGCATTCGGCACAAGGAATTTGGTAAATCAGGCCTTGAGCTTTTTTTTTTTGGTGGACGATCCTTTCGAAGAGGAAGAAAATGGCCCAGAGTTGAGACAGGTTTATGCGTAACTGCAATGCCGTACGGTCTCAAAACGCGGGCAAGGACCTCGCTCGTGCCATGGAGGTACGGGACACACATGCGGCTGGAGGTGTTTTGTTCTTGGATGTAGGAGGGTGACGAAGTTGTTTGTATATTTTGTTGACAAATCTCGTAGGGTAGTTGTTTTTCCGAAGGTCTCGCTTTATAATATCGACTTCCATCTTAAGTGACTTCTTTGTTGAGCAGACCGTGAGGGCGCGTCGAAAGAGCGTCGACACTACAGAGGATTTGTGAGCCGTAGGGTGGTCTGACGAGAAGTTTAGGTAGCCACCGCTGTGCGTTGCTTTCCTGTATACTTGGAAGGATAAATGGTTCCCTGATTTTTCCACTGCCACATCCAGAAATGGAAGGCACCCGTTAGGCTCTTGTTCAACCGTGAATCGAATGTCTGGATGGATGGAATTGAGATGTTTGTGAAGGCGATCGAATTCGCTGGACTTGGCAACACAGAAGCAATCATCCACGTAACGTAGAAACAGAGTCGGTGTGGGAGAAAATGTGCTTAAGGCTTTTTGCTCGATGGCTTCCATTGTGAGGTTGGCGACAGTGACGGACACCGCGGCACCCATGGCTGTGCCACTACTTTGCTTGTAGTAGCGACCAGCTAAAGAAAAGTAGGTATTTGTCAGGCACAGCTCTAGTAGCCGACATATCTCATTCACCGAGAGGTGTGTTCTTTCAGGTAGAGTCGTGTCGGCCTTGAGTGCCGTTCTGACAACAGACACCGCGAGTCGAATGGGAATACTCGTGAAGAGAGATACCACATCAAATGAAACAAGGCACTCGTCGTCGTTCAATTGCAGGTCCGAAGCGAGTTCGATGAAGTGGGCAGTGTTCTCGACATGTGTGTTGGTCTTCCCCATGAGCGGAAGAAACAGACGATGGAGATAGTTTGACAGCGCTCGTAATGGCGACGTTGTAAAGTCAACTATGGGACGAAGCGGAATGCCACACGTGTATTTTTGGTAAGCCGTAGAACGCAGGAGTCGATCCGTTTCGGCAGATAAGACTAAGGTAGAGAGCCCGAAACTCCGGATATTTGTTGAAGACGGCGTAAAGAGCTTTGTTTAAGATTCCTTGAATTTTTGATGTCGGGTCTTTCGGTAGCATCATGTACGCTTTGGTGTTCAGAAGTGCGTGCACCTTCTCCAGGGGGAAACGAAGAACTTTCCCGAACGTCTGCGTAGACATAAGTATGATGTTAACAAGAATGACATCCAAGGCAGCGCGCTGGCGGAACATGCTCAGAAGACCGGCCACGCCATTGGCTTTGACAGCAGCTCCATCCTCGACACAGAAAAAAACTGGAGAAAGCGGCTCTTAATAGAATCTTGGCACATACAAAATATAAGCAACAACCTGAACCGATCCACCGGAACGCTTCCAAGCAGCTATATACACGGGCTAAAATGCGCCACACACAGCAACAGAAGAAGAAAACAAAGCTAAGAGAGAAGAGAAGAAAACGACGACAGGTTCCTACCCTTGGGCCCATATACAGTCACCCGTGAACAAGGAGCCGAGCTGGCTTCGAAACGTTGGGCACATCGAAGAAATTGGTTAGAGTCTACGTTGCACTTTTTCTTATTACTTACCTAACCAGGCGGAGTTCCGCCGAAATGTTTACATTTTTTCTTTTAAGGGGAAGCGCGACAGCCCTTTGTTAGACTGAGTCCAGAAGGGTCTATTTCTTAAGTTGGTGTTCCGGATCGGTCGAGTTGAAAAAGTTTCTTTGCAGTTCTACTTCTTTTTCTTGAGTGTGTTGGTTTTTGTATTCATGTTCGGGGCCAGTGGTGTCCGCGGGTGTAGTATCCGATGTTTCCTAATATATAACATTTTATTTTATTTTATTTATTTATTTTTGAGTGAAAGTGACCGGTTTGGCCCAGGTTGGGAAGGTTTGCCGCCACTGTTATCTTTTTTGTTATTAAATGAGGGGATATCCCTTGGTCCTGTTCCGGTTGTTCCTTTGTGTGTCTTGGTGTATTGTGTCTTAGCAAAGGGCTAGTTGTGTGTTTGGTGACCTTGTGGCTGTAGGTATATAGACCAACTCATGTTTGCAAATAAACCGGAGCGCCCTAGCGGACACCACCGGCGCCGCGCATGCGCGGTGCTGTGTGGGCAAGAAGCTCGCAGTCGCTCATTGTCACGTTCGCCCGGCACAGCACACGAAATAATGAGGCGAGGCGACGATAACAAGAAGAAATATATAAATACATATATATATATATATATATATATATATATATATATATTTCACAGAACTTATAAGAAAGAAATAAAACAA